ATCAACAAAGCCAGAAATTATTACCATTACTTCTCCATATAAAATGTTCCAAATGGTCTCAGTATTCTTGGTAATAGTTTTTTTTTTGTGTGTGTGTGTGTGTGTGTGTGTGTGTGTGTGTGTGTGTGTGTGTGTTTGTGTGCGTGTGTGTGTGTGTGTTCTTTGCAGATATTCAAGAATACAGTTTCCATAGCACCATCAAAGCACACATTAGTTCATCCGTGGTAGTGATTCGAAATCTTTCACAATTTCACTTGTTTTCCATTGGCCGACTCGTAAACAATAGTGGAAGATAGTTTAGCTTTACATTGTCGGATACAAGTAAAGGTTACTCAGACGCGTTGCCGCTGGAAGTGACTATTGTCCAATGATGATCTCACAAATAATGTCGAAAGTCCGATTCCAAATTTGTTCTTATTTACTTTTGAGTATCCTAAAAGGTAAAATACCATAAAAGCCTTTAGGATACGAGAACAAAGAGAATGGGGAAAAGAAGGAATTAAATTGAAGTAGCAAGAATGGTGAATATATTGTTATTTATCGGCTCTTTTTATCAGACACTAATTGACCATAAGTGATTCTCGGTTCTTTTATGAGTACATTCTGCTACAATTATTCCAAATCCTCTCCTTCCTTCTCCTTACCCTCCTTCTTCTCACCCTCCTCACTCTCCTCCCCTTTTTTCTTCTTTATTTCTCTGTCCATTCCTTGTCCTTTCTACCTTCGTCTGTCAGGACTTTGGCGATCATGGCCCTCCACAATTTCCGGTCATTTATAGCTCTTAATAAAGTTTGTTTTTTTGTTATCTCTCCTAAACCCTGTTCTGCCATTCATTCATACAAGCTCGCTACGTAGGTTATGTGTTGATTTCCTCTGTCACTCTTGCCGTCAATGTTTCCGATGAGTATCACATTTTCCAAGCCTTCTTTCCTCAATATATGCTACAGAAATTTCAGTTGTTTCTTTCTGATGTTAAGAATACGTTTTCTTTTTTTGTTTTCATTTTATCTAAATCCTTGTCGTTACTCACATATTCAGTTCATGGAATTCTCAGCATCCTTCTGTAGAACCCCTTTTCTTTTGCTTGAAGTCAATTCTTCGTCTGTGAGGAGATTGTCCAGCATTCGCTGCCATATGTGAGGATTGATATTACGTAACAGATCAGTATTCTTTTCTTTGTTTCTCACGAATTTTTCCATCGCCATGGAATTTCAGTGTTGCACTTTCCTTCTTCTGTTAGAATACTTCCCAGATATTTACATTTTTGTACGCTATACTTTGTTTGATTTTATCATCTGCAATTTGTTGCGCTGTACCTGTTGCTGACAACGATGAATTCTTTCTTCTTGCAAGTGATATTTAGTCCTTTCTTTTCGCATTTCTTCACTCCCTTCTGTAGAAGTTTCTGTGTTTTTATTTCCTTTCTGTGTCTACTATCAATACTGTGACATCTGCAGATCTTATGCTAAGATTGTGACCGCCAATAATGAATCCAAGTAGAACTTCTAATTCTATCAGAATCGTCTTACTCTATAGGTTAAATAGGTCCGGTGAGAAGACACCCCATTGTCTTACAACCCTTTCTAATTCATTTTCTATCCGTATGCAGTCGGTTATAGGTTCTAGATTATTCTAATATCGTTCCCAAATATGTCAAGATTAGCTAACAATTCCATCAATTCGTTACTTATTTCGTTGCTTTGTTTTTCTCGCATTTTCTACTTCTCCGTCGCCTCCTCTCTGTTTTTCTTTGTCGTCTTTTCCACTTCTTTTTTTATATTCCTCTTCAACTTAATACTTTACATTTTTCCCCCTCCCCTCATCTCCTCTTTCTCTCCAATCTTCTTTTTTCTTCCTTCCCCTTTTGTCTCCCTCCTTCTTCACCTCCAAGCTTTCTATTGAATGTCCTTATTCTTGTTGTTTTCTTTTTCTATCCCACCACATCGTTCTTCTACATAAGCAGATGAGAGTCTCCTTTGTAGCGAGAGAAAAATGAAAAGAAAATTACACAGGATGCGGTTAAATTGCCTCCCATAGCTTTCCAGGTGGTTTTCATGTCTGACGTATGCCGTCCAGGTTTCGCTGCCATAACAGAAAGTACTAAGGATACATGAATTAAATACTTTTCGCTTGATGCACAAAGTCAGCTGACTGTTTCCCCATAGTCACTTGACCAATATGGCCGTCACTGCTACCGTTTTGACTGTGCATTTGTCAAATCCCATGTCAAGCGATAGGCTGTTGATGATGCTAGAACTCAGATATGTCAAATGATCTGTGATTTCAAGCAGCATTTTATCGATGCTGATTGATGGATACGCAGAAATAACTTGACCTATGATATTTGTTTTTTTTTTTATGTTATGTTAATAGTAAACCCAAACTCATTACAGACATGATTGAAGTGACTAATCAGTTGTTAGTGATCGTGCGTGATCAGTAGTGTGTCAGGAGAAAACAACATTTCTGTACTCACCCTGCTCTTTGCCCTCAGCCGAGTCAGGCTGTATTATTTACCATTTGTTTCTTGTGTGTAAGTATAAACCTTCTTCGGGTTGTCTGGTGACAAAGCTCAATAACATGGAAAAGAAGTCATTAGTCTAATGAAGATCATTTTTCTCGGAATGAAATGCATTACTTATAAATAATGTTATTACCATATCTATCTATATGTGTGTGTGTGTATGCGATGGGTAAATTGACGCCATATTATATTTTTCATTACGTGCAGGCGCGTCGTTTGTTTTTTTGTTTTGTTTTTTTTTGTTTGTTTTTTTGTTTTTTCGAATGCACAGTATAATAGAGTCAGCTGGACGCCGTCTGTTAGAAAAAGAGCACCATGACGCAATTCACACCGTCAGAAATTTGGAGAAGACAAGCTGTATTGCTTGGCATTGGCGCCGGAAGCTCTAATACGAACATTTCAGTGTGTCTGGGTGTCAAATGACAGTGAAGAGGTTTCGAAAAGAGTTGGATGAGTCTAATGGTGATTACGAAAGTGTTTGGAGTGATCACCAATGACGGCAACGTTATGCCTCTATTCGTCTTTCCACAAGGCCTCAGACTCAACACGAGTGCCTACATCATGTCATGTGGAGTTAGTGCTGCCCTAGATCAAGAGGGTGGCTTCTGGATTACCGTATTTCTTGGCAACAAGATTCTGCATCATCCGACACAAGCAAGAGAACCAAGTCATGGCTGTCACACAATTTTTTGCGACCACATAACCCCTTACATCTGGCCACCTAACTCTCCATACTTCACCCCTTTTCCTGATTATTATGCGTGGGGAGTAGTAGAGCGAGAGGACAAAAAAAAGCCCTTGTAACACCAAAAATGAGTGCAGAGATTATAGCTGCACTCACTGACAATGACAGTGTCCAGAAGAGTTGCAGGAGATTCCGAAGTTGTCTTGAGGCTATGGTTGAAACCAATGGCGATTTTATTGAATAAATTTAATTTTTAGTATTTCAAGATATTTTTGTTTAATTTTGATAAACATATCTGTTAAAATGAGAAGTCAGTGTTATTTTCACTTTTGCGTAATTTAGATGACAATTCCTCGCACACTGTATATATATACACAAACACACACACACATACACACACACAACTGTGTGGCTAAACGTCCATTGCTTCATGCCAGGATCGAAACTCGACAGATTTGGTATCAGTCAGAGATCTTACCCCTCACGGCAGAGAAAGGGACATTTTAATGTATTATATATGAAATGTGTATAAACGCCAGTGGCCAAGAGGGCTCAATTCGTAATTGAAGATCGGTGCTTTACATATATATGTGTGTGTGTGCGTGTGTGTGGGAGAGAGAGAAGGAGGGAGATAACTCACTAAGACAAAAATGTTTAGAAAGTGCTTTAATCGCTAGTTCATTCACAATAAATTTACGTCCATGTGCCCTCAAACGTTTCATCATTCTTGGCAGATCTTCTGTTATCACAATTCAAATTCCCAACGTCACTCTTTTATCCGTAGTCGCATCAACGTAAACAAATCTCGTCTGATTAAGTCCATAGGCACGAAACGCGTCACACAAAAACATTTTTTCCACTTTATCATACATCTTTCCTCCAAAAATATGTGTGTGTGATTTTAGATGCAGAATATTCATTTTAGCTTTTTTTAGCAAGTTCTTTTTAATTTGTTATTATTTTTACCCCCGTTTCTCTATTCTGTGGCCACAACGAGAAAGACGTGTAACCCTATCTTAAAACCAACCTTATTCATTTACTTTCTTTATGTAGAATTCTTGTAACTTTTTTAATTTACTGTCTCTGTGTCTGTCTGTCTCTGTCTCTGCCTCTGTCTCTGTCTCTGTCTCTGTCTCTGTCTCTGTCTCTCTCTCTTTCTCTCTCTCTTAGACATAAAAAATAAATAAATATATCTTATTCGTTACCACTAGGTTATCGCCACCCAAACAGCTTCAATTTTCAAACATTTTACAAAATGTTAGGCTCATTTTGTTGAACGCTCATATCATTTAGTCGATGATACAAACAGGTTTATAACTTATAATGAACATGTTTTTATCGTCTTTTCAGATGCTTCCTAGAAATAAGGCATCACTCTCGCATACTCATTTATAACTTTGATCGCTTCACTTATAAATAGATCAATGCAGGGACATAAGAATATTTATTTTATTTTCCAATGGTACTTCTGAGCAATAAAATATATTAGTACTACAGAACAAAGAAACAGACATTTAGTAGACTCTTTTTCTTTTCTTATTCATTGTAGCAGTTTCTTTTTTTTTCTTTTCTCTTTTTCTTGGTCGTTCGAATATTTCTTCACGGTTTTCCTCGTTAATCCGTTATTATTATTATTATTATTATTATTATTATTATTATTATTATTTGCGTATGCTATGTTTCCTGCTTTGTATCCTGTAGAGCCACGTCCAAATTATGGTCCTTAGTGAAACAAGGTAACTTGTTTATTAGGGAAATGTATTTTATATTTCTGGTTTTTGGTGGAAGCGAATGGAACAGAAAAAAATTTATAGGTTTGAATCTTTTTGTGAAGTCAAATTTTTCCAATAAATTTTATTGTGAAAACATCTGTTGTTCAAAGGACTGCATATTTTGACAGGTGACAACATTGTTTTTTCTATGTTCCCCTAAAGTCTTATCAGACGAATATGAAATGAGGTATTGTTATTTTGAATATAGATCACCTTGAAGGTTGGCTATATTTAAAGTCTGGATAAGTGTTATACTGGAACATACCTATTCTATTATTAATAGACTCTCCCACATATAATAAGTAGTAGTAGTAGCAGTCGCCAGCGGGCTCAGAGAGTTGGTGAGTCAGTCGATGTCGGACATTAAAGTATCAACCACCACAACTAGATTGCTGCGTCATTAACTATTATAACAAGTTCCTAACGTTTTGTACGTCGAAACTTTTTAGGACCGACTTAGTGAAATACAAGCCTCCACTGTGAAACTACTCTATAACAATAAGTTAAAAACAAACCAGAAAAAATGACCCCTTTTGTGATCAAACGCTGTTGAGAAAACGCGTGGGTAGCTGGGTTCTTATATATACAGCATTTTGGTGAACGGCAGAGAGACAGCCGGGAGTCATCCGGGAGAATCGACAAGAGAGACACGTCAAAAATTGTATAATCAACACACACGCAATTCACGCCCGTCTGAAATTAACTCGATGTTCGATTCTCTGATAAAAGTTTGAGAATACACACTTTTGGTTCCAAGTCGCTACCCCATCCAGAGGTGTTAAGCTATATTAAACCTTTGTAAATATTCTATGTTTATTTACTATTATTAAAACTATCATTTTCAATCAAGATCAGGATTTCTCCTTCTTCCGACAAGAGCACGACTTTCTTTTCTTCTGTCGTCAAGAAAATACCACGGCTTACTGAATCAAAGTGAAGGGCTCTCCACCTTTTCTTGTCAGTAAGAAATACAACACTTACCAGCAAGTCTAGACGATCAACGACCTAACTGGCGCCAACTCATTGGCCAGTTGAAAACTCTATGCAATCAACTTGAGCACAAAGTCATCCCTAGATGAAGATATCTACAAGAGATAAGATCCAAATTGTATGGTTGCACGTCCTTGTAGAAGAGGGGGTTACATTATACTTAGACCCTATAGTAGAATTGTCATTTAATTGATAGTACTTAGTATATGGGATTTTCCTACTAGGGCAAACTTGTATGTTGGTGTTACCAGGGACACTGTTATTAAAATTGTCCATTCTTTTTCTCACGAGGCCTAGGGCTCCGATTACTACCGGTACAGTCTCAGTCTTCATTTCCTACATTATTATTATTATTATTATTATTATTATTATTATTTATCTTCTTTTTCCTTCTTATTTACTTCCATTGTTGATTTCTTTTTTCGTTTCACGCAGCCATCTTTCTATTTGCTTTCTTCTTCAATTTTCATTCTTTCTATTTAGTCTTCTTCTTCTCCTTTTCTTTCTTTCTTTTTTATTTTTTGTTCTATGTGACTTATCTTCTTCCTTCTTCCTTCTTTTTCCTTATCTGCTATTTTTCTTGATCTTCGTTTTAATTTATGTCTTCTTCTTTCTGTCCTTTTTCTTCATTTTTCCTTTCATATGCTTTTCTTTTTTTTTTTCTTTTTCTTCTTCTACCGGTTCTCTGCCTTTTTCTTATTTTTCTACATTGCATTTCTTTTTTTCTTCACTTTACATTCTGTTTTTACTTCTTATTTCTTTCTCTTTCTTCTTATTTTGTGTCTTCTTCGTCTTCATTTTCTCTTTCCCTTTCTTTCTCTTCTTTTTCTTCGGTTTCTTTTTCTCTATTTCTTTGTATACATCTGTTCTTTTTCTCCTCCTCCTTTTACTTTTCCCATTTCTTCTTTACCTTCTTCTTCCTCCTTTTATCTTTTATTCCCTCCTTTTTACCTCTTTTCGCTCTTCGTTTTCTCCCTTTTTTCTTTTGTTTCTCCTTTTTATCATATATCTTCTTTTCCTTCACCCTATTTTTCTTCTGTTACTTTCTTCAATAAAACCCTAACAGAAACGAGACATGTTTATATAACAAGCAGAAGTAAACACTTAAAAAGTAATTATTCTCAGGACCATCTGGAGCAAAACAAACGTTAAAAATTTGTTATCTTATACACGAGAAAATAAGAAAACTCCTAAACGTTTACGAAAAGAAAGAAAGAGAGTCAAACCTGCTGGTAGCAAACATATTATTAATATTAAGCAAAATGATAAATAAAAACATTTCCATTTCCGGCGCATCGGTGTTAAGATCAACCATATTCTTTTCTTCAGGAAAGACACGCCATAAAATTGAAGCAGGCGTGCCTTGTCACTGGAGATCCTAGGCCCCAGTGCACTACCAACTCATTGCTCTAAAATCACGCAGGTTAAGGAGATGAAACAATTTCTGTCTCTACTCACATGAGCAGTCCCAACATTAAACTGGCCTTGTGTCCTATATACTATCGTCGGGAGGTAAATAGCTAAAAACAGCTCATGGGATTTTTACAAACTTTAAAGAATAAACTGACTGACTTTCGGTCTTCTAAAAAGTAATTCTTCAATTTAAAATGACTATTCGAATTTTACATCTGAAAATAAAACTGATTTTCCTTTAGTGACTTGATTTATTTTGTGAAAAAGGCGCTAAACACCGTTTTCTTCTAGTCACGATTAACGAATCCATTCGCCATACGGCTCCACGTTTTGAACATGTATTGGGTCTCAAGGTTATTCTAGAATCAAATGGAACACATATATACAAAGTATTGCTGAATATGTTTACTAAATGGTGCGTTCATTCTATCAAAGTCGGATTAAGTTAGGTTTTGCTGCCATAGCAGGGCTGAAGCTTCTCAATTCTCACTCTCCAACCTTCATATAAGTTCAAAATCGTTTATCCACTCTCGTTGTGGAACACATATTTTCCACTCTGTGACACTCTTTCTTACGGACGCGACGTTACATGACTGTCGCTAATCTATCGCTATTTCTATGTCCAAAGTTTAGATGAACTCCAATCTTTAATTCCAACAGTCCAGACCTTTAGAGTTAAAATACGCCATACCACTTCTACAGAGTCGAAATACCCTCATTCCCTCCGAGTTCCAAATGTAAGAACAAAATTTTAATCACGTTTTTTCCCAAGAATTAACACTTTGTGCAGCAGACTTCTACATGCGCGCTCCAATCTTGAACCCTTAAATCTTGACCTCTCCAAATCAATGATCCATCTTTATATAGCCTTCTTATGCCCATAACCTTCATTTCTACCAACCTCTCTTTCACACACTTCAGTATTACTATTTTGACTTTAACTCTATTAGGTGAAATTTAGTACTAAAAAGAGGTTAAATGAGATTAAGTTAGTAACTACACTTGAAATGAGCCTTGTGCATACAATATGGCTCATTGTGGCTTTTTGTTATACATATGTTCACCCAATACAAGGCCCAAGAGCCACTCAATGTAGAGGGTTACTGTTTGGTGCTGTATGAGCGTAGGAAAAGGCAAGAAGTGAAGTTCATGCCGTTATTCAAAAAAGCTAACATTTAACCCTACACTTGAATAGATAATGATCGGGAAAACATCCCGTCCGGAGTCCGTTCCAAAGGGCAGCAGTTCTTGGGAAGAAGCTGTTCGAATGGGACTTACTTCTCACAATATCATTATAGACAAGTGATGACTGGTGAGCTCCAACCCAGATATGGTAGCAATAATGCATTTTTATTCTGATCTGTTGCATTTTTGTTGTACAATCACAATGTGACAAGTTAACTTCAGAAAAGATTATGTCAAACAAAGTCTTATTGCTTTTCAATTTGATCGGATGATGGCTATGCTACTATAAGAATTTCTTAGATGAAAGAAAAAATAGTCGAGGATTAATAATAAAAAACGATTTCTGTATGAATTTCTGAGATGAAGATTTATCATTATTTGTACTATTTACATTCGAACAATTGTACTTATCTGTTGTACCTTCCTGCCTTCCTCAGGTGTGTCGATTCGGTAGGTGTATATACCAGGTGTATGTCGATCTTTCCAGTGATGATGCCTTAATAATAATAATCATAATAATAATAATAATAAAGATACACATTCTGAAACACTTTATCCACCGACATTTCAAGTCTTAAAACGCATAAAGATAATTACATATGCAAATTAATAACGTCCCGCTGCGTCGAAATTAACAAAATGACAGGAGAGTTCCATAAGGTTTACACTAAATTATTTGATTAATTGCTCTAACTAATCAACTGACGGAAAGTTTTCAGCTGAGCACGTTCCTCATCATGTAACTCACGCTTCAGTTGCATTCCCTTTATGCTAGCTGTGTTTCACTCGCTTTATCGCGTTGATTACCAGTACAACCGTTTTTCTCAAAACAAGTGATGTTTATACAAAGACTTGCTTTTATATTTTTATACTTTTATCCATTTTTAAACATAACTTGAAGAAGATAAACATACTTTTGATGCCCGTAATAATAATTAAGGTACACATTCTGAAACACTTTAAAGTAGACATTCTGAAAAAAATATTCAGAATCCACCGACATTTCAAGACTTTAACATTGTTAAACATTGTTTTTTCTTTTCTTTTTTTTCTTAAATTGTGCTTTTCTGGAAGTGTTGCATAATATTGGAAGAATTACATCAATAATTTTGCTTAATAATAATAATAATAATAATAATAATTTCGTTTCTTGGCAATTAGCATTTCAGAGAAGTATAATATAAACTCTATAAATACGAAGTAATATTATTCACTGACTATATATAATGCATTCTTATCATATTTAAAATTTTATATTAATATATATATATATATATATGTGTGTGTGTGTGTGTGTGTGTGTGTGTGTGTGTGTGTGTGTGTGTGTGTGTGTGTAAAATATTAATATTTCGGCGAATATATATATTTGTATAGATAGATAGGTTGGGATCAAATATGGATCAGAATCCAACAGAATGATAAGACAAAGAACAAGTAAGAAACGTTTATCAATCTAACAGGTTTCACTTTTATTAAATCCTCATCAAAGAATGGGATATTGAGAAAAAGAAAGAAGAAATCATGGTATTTTTACTTTGCGGCGTTCCGAATTAACGGATTCAAAGCCTAACTGAAAAATGATAATGTATATTCGTAAGTGTGTGTTCTTCGTGGGGTGGGTATGTGCACGCGCGAAGTAGTATTATTAGTAGTAGTAGTAGAAGTAGTAGAGTAGTAGACATTATGTTTTTGATTTTTCGCATGTTGACTTGGGAACATTTTTACGTCCATAGTGTTTTAGATAAAAATACGTTTGATTCTTGATTCTTTAAGAATGAATCCATTAAATGTTGATCATATAATATTTTTGACGTGTGCTTATAGTTGATAATATTTGTTATTAGTAGGCTCTCGAAGTACATTCTTCATAAAAATATGTTCTTTTCTTAAATAGTAAAATCAAAATTATGGCCAGTTTTGCTCCTGTGAGCAAGAGAGAGTTTGAATTATTTTTCAGGATAGATAGATAGATAGATAGATAGATAGATAGATAGATAGATAGATAGATAGATAGATAGTATGAGGCAGATCATTAAATGAACCCAATGAGGTTCGAAAGGCTTTTGATCACATGCCGTCATAAGAAAACCGGTGCCTCAAAATGGCAAAGTGACAAATGAATTCAGTAAATGATAAGACGCAAATCAGTAAGAACACCAGTCAGATTCCTGCATGAGAAAAATGCTTATCTTCCAACAACTTTTTATTTTCACATTTCCTTACACTCTTTGTTCGGTAATAAAAAGTTCAGTGAATGTAAAGATGTTCTGACATCATGGGTGTTGACACCAGAGCTTATTCTGCCTATTTTGATAAACAAATGCACACACAGACGCACACATAAACACATGCTCATAGATAGTGTTTTTAATTTGCAATATTTATAAAGTAAATTGCTTTTAATATCGGGGATAGGGTTCGGATAGAGGGTTTGAAGATAGAAACTTCACGAGACTTTCTCAATTTAAACCGCCATCAGACCATAAGCGATCAAGGCTTTGATAATCGATGAAGGCGTGAAATTGTCATGCATCATGCGATGTTGATTTCTATTTTCACACTTTTATATATATATATATATATATATATATATATATATATATATATATATATATATAGAGAGAGAGAGAGAGAGAGAGAGAGGCATGAAGAGACACATTTGGGTGCATAGATATTAACAGACTAAGAAAAATAGATAGATAGATAGATATTTAAATAGCAGATTGTTGAAATTTGAGGAATAAAAAGAAAACAAAATGATAACAAAATTTGGGAATAAGATTGATGATATTATTGGAGATTAGTCGTTCTTTTGACTAAATTTAAGCACGGAGAGAAAGATTTAAAGTCGGAATTTTCGAACACGCCTGTGGAAATTATATTCTCTAAGTAAACCCAAATCCTTGTTTAAACCCTATGCAACCCTAATCCTAACAATCTACTAGGCCAAAATCCAATTTCTTGCAAGAATACAACACATAAGAAAAAAAAACATTCTCCGGAAGAGTGAGTCCCACTTTTGAAAAGGGACACAGTCGTGACAAAAATTCCGGCTTTAAAATCTTTCTCTTTGGGCTTCGGTTTAGTCAAAAGGCTAATGTATAATAAATATAAATCTTATTGACCATATTGTTCGCATTTTGGTGTCTTTTTAGTTTTCAAATTTCATTAAGCAGCCGATTCAATCTACATATTACAAAAGGCCCAGACGGACCATCTTTCGTTTTAATCATATATATATATGTGTGTGTGTGTGTGTGTGTGTGTGTGTATTATGAAATGGATTATATATATATATATATATATATATATATATATATATATATATATTATGAAATGTATTAAATCATTTTTTATATGTTGGCATTGTTTACGATAAGATATATTTCGTGAGCAAACATGATCAATCAAGAAAAATCGTCGAAGGTGTGTGTTTATTAAGAGAAACTTAGTCTTTGCTCACCA